CTAGGTAATCTAACTAAAAGTTGTTCAGTTTTGGTTATATTTTTTAAAAAACCAGAAAACCTCAGTTTTGTCAATTTTTTTTTCTATTTCTTTTATTTCTGCTCTAAACTTTATTTCCTTCCTTCCACTGACTCTGGGCTTACCTTTCTCCTCTTCTCCTTAATTCTCCTCTTCTTCCTCCTCATTTTCTGACTTTTCCTCTCCCCCTTCTTTTTCCTCCTCCTCTCCTCTTTCTCCTTGAGGTACAAAGTTAGGCAGTTTATTTGAGCTTTTTTTGTTCATTCGTCTGTTTTGTTTTTCGAGACAGGGTCTCATTCTGTAGTTCAAACTGGCTTGAACTCACTACGTAGCCCAGGCTGGCCTTCAGCTCACAGTGATGCTCCTGCCTCTGTCTCCTGAGGGTCGGGATTATAGGTGTGCACTACGCACTGTGTGAGGTTTTTCTTTTTAATACAGAAGTTTATCACAAACTTTCCTCTTAGTGTTACTTCTGCTATATTCCATGCTTCTGTGTGTTGTACTTTAACTTTTGTTTGTCTCAATTATTTTCTGATTTCCTTCTTAACTTTTCTTGGATCTCATAGCTGTTGTGCAAGAGTCTATTCTTTAATTTCACATTTGTAACTGCTATGGCTTGAATTTAGATGCCCCCAAAAGCATCACCATCATAGGTGGGCTTTTCAGAAGTGTTGTGTCTATGTTGTATGATGCTGGGATTGAGGTGCCCTGACCGGGGTGTGGGCTCTACCCACTCTACGGGCAGGTAGGCTCGATCTGCTCTGTGTGCTGCTTGCTGTTCTGCTGCCTCCTGCCTGCCATGGACGGACTGCTTCTCCTCTGCGATGCCCCTCTGCCATGCCTCCCTGCTCTGGAGCTGCCAACTGTGGACTGGCACAGACATGGATTTTGAACTGAAATAAACCTTTCCCCCTTTCACTTTGGGTGCTGAGTATTCCGTCTTGGCAAAAAGAAAAATGACCAAGATAGTGACTTTTCCAGTTTTCCTTCTTCTTTTGATTTCTAATTACATTCCAATGTGGCCAGAAAAGATATTTGTTATGATTTTAGTGTTGTAAATGTATTATAACTTGTTCTGTGATCTAACGTGAGATCCTTTCTGAAGAAGTTTCATATGAGAAAAATTTGTATACCACAGCTGTTTTGTGGAACATTCGGTTTATTTCTATTAGGTTTGCTTTGTCTAGAATGTTGCTGAAGTCTTCCGTTTTGTTACTGGTCTTCTTTTGAATGTTCTCGCCTTCATTTAAAGTGAAATTTACATGGAAGCCGCCTACTGTAATTGTATTGCTATTTTCCCTGCCTTTTGTCAATGTCTGCTATCTATTTAGGTGTTCTGATATTAGTGCATGCGTGTTTATGGGTTGGTAGATCAATCTTTTTATCATTATGTCATATCCTTACATTATTCAGCTTTCCCATTGCTGGACAAAATGCCCACCACTTACAAGTTAAGGAGATGTGCGTGTGTCTCATGCTTTCACAAGGTCCAGTCCACATTTGACTGGCTCTAAGACCTGAGTGTTGTGGTGGAAAGGAGCAGCTGTTTGCTTCACGGTATCTAGGAAGCAGAATGCGGGGGAGGAGCACCAGAGAGTGTGCCTGCAGGGGCAGCCCCCGGTGCCCATCTCCAAAAGGCCCTCACTGCTAATACAGCATATCGACTGGGAGCCACCAGGGATTAACCTCCAGGTGAGTAGAGCACCCCATGATCCAGGCACCTCTCCAGGAGTTGTTCAATCCAATTCAATTGACTACCAAGATTAACTGGGCTAAGTCCACCCTTGTCAACTTGACACCTAATCACATCTCCTTAAATCATATTGAATCTCCAAATAAAGACAGGTCCACAGTTATGCTTCACACGACACACCTATTCTGCATCAAATTGGCAGTGCAATAATCCCTCCCCAAAAGTCTCAATAGTTTTGACATTTCTCAAAAGTCCAAGCTAAGTATCTTCTCAGACTCAAGACAAACTCATAGCTGCAAATTTCTGTAGAATTTAAAAGACAAGTTATTTAATCCTGAAATACAGGTGTACAGGATAACAGCCCCATTCCAAAAGAGAAATAAAAGATAGAAAAGCAACAGGATCCAAGTGGGAGCGGCACCCAACGGAAACGCTAAGTCCTGCTGCTGCGCATCTGGCAGCAGGCACGCAGTGGTGAGATATGAGCCCTGTGGGCTCAGGCAGCCCTGTCCCCGCGTGCTCGCCAGCTGCAGCCCACACGGCCCCTGCGCTGACGCTGCTCACTGCTCACAGCTTTCCTCGGCGAGGTGCTGGCACCTGCTTCCTGGGGTCCCTCCTGCACCTTCAGCTTTGCTCCCAAGCTTCCCACGCTGCCCTGTCAGAGGCACACTGACAGACTGCCAGTTCAAGTAAAGACGGGCGCCTTGGACCAGGCTGCAGCAGCCTCTGAGCACTGTGAGATGAATGACGACTCCCCAGCTGGCCTTTCTCTTGCAGGGGTTTCCCTAGCAAACAAAAAGTTTTGCTCTTGCACCTTTGAGCCTGCAGTGGGTGAGGTCTTGCTGATTTCCGAGATGTCCTGAAGGCATCTTTCTTCTGGTCCCAATTCTAAGTTTCCTTTTACTGGTGCTGATCTCCCCAGAGGCCATACTCCTTGGCCCCAACTTCACACTTGGTCCCTTTCAGGCCAAAATTTAAATTTCTCAAATGCTTCTGCTCTGATTTTTGCTCCCTTATCATTATGGGATGATGGAGCCAGGCTGAAGCTGTTTCTTACCTCCCATTCATCCGTTGTAACTTTATTTTTAAAAATATTTTATTAGTACATGTTTTTAGTACGTAACACTAATTCATTTTAATGGATAGATACATGCACTTAAGATGTCTTAATTTTTAAAATTTTCTTTCCCTCTCTCCCTCCATCTTTAGATCCTCTTCCCGTTTGCAAAAGATCTGTTTTCTGCTATCTTTTATTTTTTAAAATTATTTATGTGTTCAGCACCTCATGCAAGAGAACCTATGTAATATTTAATGTTGTGTGCCTCCTTTATTTCATATAACATTATCTCAAGGTGTATTTCCTACAAAAGACTCAAATTTTTCCTGTATGGCACAGTAGTACTTCATTATATATAAATATCACATTGTCAAATTTCATGTATCTGTTGATGGACAAATAGGCCACTTCTAAGAGTTAGCTATTATGAGGTCTGCTGCTGCAAACTGTTTTTGTCACACTACACCTTTAAATCCTTTGGGAAGATTCCAAGAGGGGAAATAGCTGGGCTGAGTGGAATTTCTACTTCAGCTCCCTGGAGACCCTCCTGCTGCTTCCCACCCTGGCTGTGCTTTGCTTCCCACCAACGTGAAAAGGTGCCTTTTCCCAGCAGCCTTTCCATCAATGTGCGTCATTTATTTCTCGATGGTGGTCACTCTTTCTGGAGTAGATGAATCTTGTTGCTTTCATCCATATTTCCTTGATGGCCGGAGATATTGGACATTTTTGTGTATTTATTGGACATTTGTTCTCCTGAGACGTGTCTATTCTCTCCGTTGTCCGTTTTTGATTGGGTCTTTCATTTTGGGGGAAGTCTGATTTGTTTAGTTCTTTGGAGAGTCTAGATAGTATACCTCTGCAAGGGGAGTAGCTACAAACAAATTTCCATTTGTAGGTTGTCTCTCGTTTTTGTTTATTTATTTGTTACTCAGCCTTGCTATGTAGCCTCGAACTCATGGTGACCCTTTTCCTCAGCCTCCCGAGTGCTGGATTACAGGTGTGTATCACCAAGTCCAGTTTTGACTTTTACTTTGCTGTGCAGAAACTTTTTAATTTGATATTACCCCATTTGTTGATTTTTTAAACAATGAAAGATTCTCAAGTCAATAATAACAATATACATTACAATTATACTGTCAATTTTAGGGTCATTTTGACCAGCTGGCAACCCGGGTGGAAGCTGGCTTTCTGATGCTGTGACATAGCTTTCCTGGCTCCTGTGGGCATAGCCCCACCGCTTTCTGTCCTTGTTCTACGTCCTACCTCCTTCTTCCAGAAAAAGCGTGGAGAACAATCTTCAGGTTCTGATCTATTAAAGAATTTAACACTAGAACAGGCGTGGTGGCACATGCTTGTGATCCCAGCACCGGGAAGGCTGAAGCAGGAAGATCATTGGAAATCTGGGGACAGCATTGTCTACATAGAGAGACTCTGTCTCCAAAAAAAGAGAAAAGAATGAACTTGGGGCTACAAAGTTACATGAGAAAGGCAGGTGTAATGCTCATTCATAGGACAAACTCTCCACCAGGAAATGCCTGTCTTCTTGATTTCTCTGAACGGGCTCCAGTGTATTTCAATGGAGTTTTCTGTTCTCATCCCTTCCCCCTCCTTCAGGACACCCTATTAATTTTGTGGGCTTTTCTACACTTTGAGGACTTAAAGTACAATTTGACAATTCTGAAATCTTTGCCATAAATGAGCACTTCTGTTAGATGAAGTTTTGGTCTCCAGTTGGGCCCCAGGACATTCTGCTTTCGCTCGTGGTCATTTACTGAGACCGTTTGCTCACTGCCTGTTAAGGACCATGCTCTCCAGGAGGGTTTCCACGATGCCACTGGGTCAAGGAGACCTTGAGGTTACTGCAGAGCAGCAGGGCTGGCTGAGCCTTGGTGTAGCACTGCAGTGCCCTGGTCCTTGCAGGCCCAGCAGGGAAGGCCACCAAGGTGTCCCTGCCCCAGAGACAGCACCAGGACAGCACCTGCTGCTCCCGGCCTGGTGAGCCTGGTGGCCTGTAAAGCAGAGGGTGCCGGGGGAGGAGCCAGGCAGCACCTCAGGGTGCTGCTGGGGCAAGGGCTGTGCTCCTGGGCCCCGGAGTGTGGAAATTCCTGGGTTACCAGGTAGTTCCTCCTAAAAGTTGGCTCACCAAATAAACATTTCCAGGTTTCGTGGTGCTTGCATCTCCTGGAATTGGTTTCCAGGTTCTGCCATCACAGAGAAAGAAACTGAATGAAATCAGTGAAAAATAGTAGCAAAATTTACTTGGAAAAATCAGAGTAAAGAGAGAGAGAAACTGGCTCTGCAGAGTGAGCTCGGGCTGAAAAGAAGAGGAAAACCTCGCCCTGGAGGACGCAGTGTGGGGAGGCCACCAGAGCGAGCTCTTCACGGCGTCTTTGTCCTTCTGTGGTGTCCCCATCTCAAGGAGGCCCAGGAGGATCTCTGCTTACAGACCCTGAGAGGCGGTGCTGGTCCCTCCTCAGGCTGAGGCGGCTCCAGCCGTCCTGGGGGACACCTGCTGGGGTTCTTGTGAGAAGCCACGTCCAGGCTTTGGGAACTGTTCTGCACATATGTCTGGAGCCCCCGGATTCACAGGTCACGGCCTCATCCCCAGCCAGCTCTGCTGTGCTCTACGCTGCTGCCCCAGGCGTCCCCAAGAGGGCATTGAAGGCCCCATCGCTCTGCTCCACCTCCACAGTGCACCCTCATTCTGGGTCCTTATAATAACCCACTAAGTCTGCCCCAATTTCTTCTGATATAAAAGTATCACGCATTCACATAAATGATTTTGAAATGCCAAAATACTTAATCTAGAAATCGGCACTAACTGCATATGCATAGGAAGCTTGTGTGTATTAGATCATAATATGCAGAAGCCGTGTATCAACTTTCCCCGACCTTCACCCCAGCCTCCTGACCCTCCCCCTCCTTAAAAACAAACCCCAAGTCCACCCACACTGGCTACTCCTTCCTTCTCTCCCCCACTAGGCCCGTTGGCCTGATTGGACCAGGATTTCTTTTTTTTTTTTTTTTTTTAGGACCAGGATTTCTTAATAAAACGTTCGTATTGACCTGTTGCCCTCTGGTGAGATTATTAAGGAACTGATCACAAATACGATAATATTCACTCTAACAGTAAAAATCTATGGATGAGTAACTGGCTATCTGACTTTGTGGGACCAAGAATTTGTTACCAGCCCAGACAGTAAGAGAAGGTATGGAAAATTCTCCAAATACTTGCAGACTAAATAATACACTTATAAATAAGTGGATGAAAAAATTAAAAAGAAATTAGAAGCTGGGCATGTATAGATGGCACACGCCTGTAATTCCAGCACTTGGGAGGCTGAGGCAGGAGGATCACCATGAATTTGAGGCCAGCCTGCACTATCCTGTGAGTTCAAGTCCAACCTGAATTACATAGCAAGATCTTGTCTCAAAAAAACATAAAAGGAAGCTGGGTAGTAATTCTTGAGTTAAAAGAAAAGGTATAAAATGATCAGAAATGCCACCAAGGCAGTATCTAATGGGAAACCCATAGCACTACATCCCTAGAAAGGGGCGGGGTGCGAGGGGCAGCACCTGCAGCCCCTTAGTTCCTTGCCCTCGGGCTCATTTTCTCTCCACTGGCCAGGTCAGAGGAGGCCAGTCGTCCAGGCAAGAAGGAAGTGAGGAGGCTGGGTGGGCACAGACCGGACCGGTGACTCAGCTCCCGGCCTCCTCCTCCCCCGCTCACCTGCGGAAGTGAAACTGCGTCCGGGCACCAGAATCTGCATGTTCTGTCATTTGTCCGGGTTGAGGACAGCCTGGCGGTTTATGCCCTGGGCCTGAGGAAGTTTGTAGAAGCTGCTTTCCTTTCGAGAAAGGAGGAAATATTTTAAAGTTCTGTTTTCCTGTGCTGATGACAACAGGAGAACAGAAATCGAAAGGGCAAACAGAGTATTTTGGAAGTAACGATTACGTTCATTATCTTCATGGGGATGGTCTCCCAGGTGTGCAGTGTGTGTGTGTGTGTGTGCGTGTGTATGTGTGAAAACTTACCAAAGTCCACGCTGTGGGGCGGGGTAGCCAAGTGAAACTAACCTAGGAACTGGTACTGGGGCTCTGGACTCACTGGAACCTGGGCAACGCCCAGGGCCAACTCCTGATCTTTGTCCTAAAGCCTAATTCTGAAGTTGCAAACAAACCTGTTGTGTGCCGGTCCCCCAGCATGATCTACAGTGAACTTTCTGCAGGAGCTCGCTGAAGGCCTGTGCATGTGGACTGTGTCTCTTGCATCCAGTTACCTCAGAGTGGTTGTGGGACGGGACAGGCGTGACAGACATAGCTGCTGACAGGACCCAGTGCCCGTTCCATTGCCCCAGTCATGTTCTGGAAGCCCCAGAGAGAGGTGCCCCGTGCCGGTGCAATGTTTTGAATTTTCAACCCGATGCCTTCGCCACTCTTACCGGTTTCCTTTCCTCCCAGGCAAGGCTGCCCACTCGCGAGCACCTAATTAAACCTCAGTGAACCTCGATGCTGCTCTCCACCCTCACAGGCCGCGGCCACAGGCACAGGAGCCCAGAAACCTGTCAAGGATCCTTCCACCCCTGATAACAAAACAGCCACTGCAAGGACACTATCAGAAAATGCAAGAGCAAGTTATTCACGTGAGCAAGCCAGATCAAGTGATTTTTATCCCAAAAGTTTAGGGCTACAGGAATTTCCAATTTCACGTGTTTTGGAATATTTGTGTGTGTGCACATGGGATGGGGGCTGAGTCTAAACACGGATTTCATTAGTGTTTTATGTACATCTCCCACACATAGCCTGAACCTAATTTCCTACCGTATTTCAGCACATCTGCATTTTGACTGCAACCCTCTGCCACAGCTGAGTGGGCCAAATAGTCTAAGTTACCGCACACGACAAGGAAAGAACCGCCAGAGCACCCGGCTCGCTTGGCCATAAACCTCGCCTGTTTACTGAAGGTCTCGGGCAGCAGCAGGACCCGCAGAAGAACAAGCGGGTGGCTCAGTGTTCCGTACCGAGAGGGCCGGACGCCCTGGTCCTTGGCGCCCCGCTGCCTGTCTTCACCGATGTCGGCGACCTGGACAAGGTCCCAAGCACAAGCCCAGCGCTCAGTGGGCTGGGCTCGGATAGGGAAGGAAGGGCCAGCGCTGCTCCCTGTCTCAGGGTCCTGGGAGCCCAGGCGACCCGAGCGAGGGTACCGTGGCGCTCACAGCCGACCGCAGGGAAGGGAGGGCTCGGCCCCTTCATGTGACAGCAGCGTCAGTGCTCGAAATCTCGAATTTTGGAGCATTTTGGGTTTCAGGTTCAGGTTGCGTGATGTATGTGAACTTTTTAAAATTACTCAATTCATCTAAAGGAAGTGAAAGAAGAGTAACTGGCAGGGCAGAGTGATCTTTAGGAGTTGGAATTCTGTACCTTAGGGACAAACTGCTTCTCCAAGAGCCCCAGGCTGAGGGCACTGCCCTAGCCTCCACCTTCACCAGGAGAATGGGCGGAACATGCACAGCTCACCCCAGAGCCACTCAGCCCTTACCATGGAAAGAGGGAGCCCAAAGGGCTGGGCACACTCGGCGGGGCGCTGTGCGGGTCACCACGGCCTGCTCCCCGCCTTCCGTGTTGTGAAAGGCCTGGACGGCGGAGCACGGTGGTCACTCGCTGCAGCCTGAGGCCGGTCCCGCCGGCACCACCTCCTCTCCCCAGGCCTCCTGGACTCTGGGTACAGAGCGCAGAGGCCCGAGCGCCCTGCAACAGAGGCAGAAGGAAACGACCGAAGCCACAAGTAAACAACAAACAGAAAGACAGAAGTCGTAGGCCCAACTATGACACTAACTTGTTAAGCTACCGTACACTAAGTGTTACAGCCTTGAAAGACCAGGTTGGTTCTCTAACGAGCAACATACTGCTTAAAAAGGCACATTTCAGGCTGAAGGCCACAGAGACACTGAGGCATAGAATGGACAAAGGTACAAAGCAAGGTGACAGCTGAAATGGCAGGAAGACCGTAATCACGCTGCGGGGCGTAACGTGCCGTTCCCAGTAATTCGTGGGGAGATAGAAGACCAGGACAGCTATAGAAGACTGGAATACAGCTCATAATCTTCACCAAAGTGACGTAAATTTGATTAGTCAAAAAACATAAGCATATTATATAGAATGTGGAACTGATACCAGAAGCGACAGCTGAGGAGTTCACACTGGCGACATAGGAGGACTGGAAGGGGAGGGTGGGCGCAGCCCGTCTGGTAACAGATGCCGCTAAGGCCAGCTGTGGGACGGGCGGTGGCCCCAGGGCTCTGAGGCTGACTCTAGAAGGTGGCGAGGTCAGCACAGCCCAGCTTGCAAAGCAGGCTCGTCCCAGAGAGAGGAGAAAGGGACGCTGTGTCCCGGCTCTTTCCAATCTACCTAACGATAGACTTCTTTAGTTAAAACAACAACAATAGGATGAATCCTTGTTGCCTCTAGGGCCGCACTTCTCAGTTCTCCCAGATGGGAAAAGCACAGGAGCAGTAAGAATCAAAAGAGCTCCCTAATACGCCTGGAAAATCACTGATTTCTGAAAAAATAAAATAAAATCACTGATTTCTGACTCCTCTTACACTCCTCTAAAATTTCTGATTTCACTCATTCTTGAACATTCTCGAAACAATCTTGGACGTCCACAGCTGAAGAAGTGCTTTCCAGGCTCCTTGTATCCTGACTTTTGGGAAAGGTAGCGAGGCTTTGTGTTACTGGAAATGCAACAGAAGGAGGCTCTGCAGAGTGGGAGTGGCCCTGAGGGTCGGCGGGGGCCTGGGCCTGGGATTCTTACACTGCCTGCAAGCAAAGCATTCAGGATGGTTGTCCTGTTAGATACTCACCTGGCCTTCGGCAGGAGATGGAGACTTGGCCAGCCGGCTGGGCAGGTGGGCCTGGCTTGTCAGTCACCGAGAACTAGCACACAGGAACAGAAAAAACAGCTCCCAAGCCTCACACCTGGCACCAGCTAGAAAGAGCCACCTTCAGTTCCTGTGTGAGAGTACGCTGGGTTTCAGGAGGATGAGCTGGACCTGATGTCAGCCTGAGGAGCGGGGGACACAAACGGCCTCACAACCACCTGCTCTCCCTTCCAGTGCGGCCCACTCACCATGCTCAGTGCACTTCTCCTGCCTTCAATAAATGTAAACCCTGCTTCCTTTGCTCCTGACTTCCCCAGTTCTGACATCAGACTGAAGCTTTCCTTTCAAAGGCACACTTGGTTTGATGCCATACGTAAATGAAGAGTTAAAAGTGGCACTTTTCTGATTGGCCCAAGTACAGATTTAGGAGCTCGGACTCTGTGCTCTGCACCTGTGTCTTGGGTCTCCATGCCTGGCAGCACTGCACAGTGGCTTAACTGGTTTGCCCCACTCCAATCACCACTTCCCCTGGACAGAGTGTGGCCTTGGTGTCTGCATTTCTCTTCTCTGGAACCTCCTCTGGAAATCACAGGCCCACCTCAGGGTCCCCAAGGCTCCCGACCACCCCCACAGCCCAAATGTGGCTGTGCCCAGGGCTGCTCCCAGGAGGAAGAACTCAGGGACTGGAGGCCACTGTCGGCGTCCTCGGTGGGCCTCCGTCCACCTCTTCTGCCCCCGCGGCCCAGCGTCTGGGGAAGAGACCGAGGCAGCTGGCCCGACACCGGGGGAAGAAGCTTTCACACCCTCCTTTGCTTCCCAGAGCCTCACTCTGCCTGGAAACCACTGCCCAGAAGGTTGCTCTGGAAAGCAAGTGGAGCGGTCTCTGCTGCTGACCTCTGTCTCTCACAGGAAGCCGGGGCTCCAGAAATTCCCACTCCGGGGTTCACCCCTGGCCACCGTCTACTTTTCCTTGAAAAGTACCTGCCAGCAGCCTGCCCACAGGTCCAAATAAAATAAGAAGCCGTAGTTTATAACTGTTTATTTGTTGAGGCAGTGATTTTAAAATGTGAAATCTCTCCCTGGCTTGCTTCAGTGCCTCCCTGGACGACAACGTTATCATTTTTATTCTTTCAGGCTTTTTCGAGGTTTATCAGTTCTTAATAATTTTCACTCCACCACCTAGTAGCTGCTGGAATCCGGGCTCCTCTAGCTGGCACCTCCAAACCTTTCCAGACTCCTCCCACAGCCAGGTCCACAGGCGCTGAACCACACAGTCAGGTACAGTCAAGGCAGTGACCTACTCTTGGTTCTGTTAGGAGAAAGAAAAGAAACCGATGAGCTCAAATCAAACCTGAGAGGGGCGGCCCAGCACTGAGACCAGAACAGTGTGTCTCATACAAGCCATGGGGTCTTTGACAGGGTCATGAGCTTAAAAGGGGGCTGGGCTGCGGAAGAAAAGATCCGAATGGGGGAAATTCAGGGGAGAGGACTGACAGCTTCCTGCTGGAGATAAGGCTTGAGACATGTAGGGTGTGGCCACCGTCTTCCAGGGCAGGGCTGAAGAACCTGATAGGGTAGCCATGGTCACCGGGGCTTACTAACCCATCATGGCCCATTTTGGCAGCTGTGAAAGCACGGTGGGATGGAAGAGGCTGAGGTGACCTCTGGTCAGTCCAAGACAGTGATGGTCAGATTGCTTCAGTGTCAAAATCCATCTTAGGTGTCCCTGGCATAATAGAATCAATGTAAAATACATGCATAACCGTGCAAAGGGACTTACCAGGCACGATTACAGGATCAGAAGCAGAAGAGACTCAGTCCCTTAGGGCTTATTTCCATTTTTTGTGTGTCCCAAACAAGGAACTAGACCAGGCACGCAGAAAAGACAGTGACTGTGCACATTATTTGGGGTGGAAAGAGTTGCGCTCTGCAGGGTGAGCAGGGGTGGGGTGGGGGCCCAGTGAGGAGTGGCTGCCGCCCCAGGGGCTGGGGGGAAGGATCCTCTGTACCCAGGTGTCCCAGATTCTCTCCCCAGACGGCCTCGGGACAGCTGTCATTGAAATTTTGCTTGGTGTTAAGCTCTATGTAAACTATCAAGAAGCTCAATTGGCTGCTTGTCGTATGTGAATAAAAGATCAGGAACAATGTCTTTTGATTGGTTTTTCCCAATCTTCAGAGCAAATTAAGGATTGAAAAGCGCACCTTCTGATTTTCCTGCAAATGGTGCTGACCTCGAAGGAAAGATTGAAAGCAGCGCTTTTCTGACTGGTACTGGTTCTGCGTACAGTGGAGTCTCTCGCCCTGGTCCCCTGCCTCAGGGGAACTTCTAGAACTGCTCCAGAAAGCGGCAAGAATGATGGCAGGCTGTGTGTGAAGGAAGGCGCGCTGTTTCAAGGGCGATTGATGGCACTATGTCTTTAGCTGCAACGGTTAAAACCCAGGCATCCAGCATATTTTTCTATCACACCTCACCTCATAATTCAGTTAGGATAATGGTCTCAACTTCTATCTGTTTTCCTCCAAATGACACGTTTCCACCCTTTTAATGTTTGTGAATACATGTCACATTTTCTCTACTGACTCATACGTGCAAGGGCATCTAGGCTGTTTCCACAGCTTGGATATTTGAAGTTAGCTGCTATCAGCTTGGGCACGCGTGTATCACTGTATTATGATGTCTCTCACTCCTTCTGGAATATACCCAAAAGAGCCCTAGCTGGGCACCACTAAGCTTGGCGGGCCAGTATGATTAGATTGGGGAACTGCGCTGGAGATGAAGGCTTCCACGTCTCGGTGAGTCGTGGCGTCGTGGCCTTAGGGTCCGTATCTGTACCCCTGCCCTTCCTTCTCTGGCACTTTCCCTTGCTCTGCTTCCCTGATGCCGTGATAACCATCTCTGTTCTTCATGCCCTTCCACCATGATGTTCCTGCTTGGAGCCATGGACTGGATCCCCTCCAACCGTGAGCCAAGGTAAACCTCTGCTCCTTTAAATTGTGGCTTTCTGGGACTGTGTCTCAGTAGGAGGAGAGCCGCTGACACGCTGGGACAAATGGCATTTCTAGCTATAGTTCTGTCCTGTGAGAAGCTTCCACAGTGATTTCCACAGTTCCTGTGCTAGTTGACATCATCAGCGATGTAAGAGGTTCCTTTTTCCCTGCCTCCTCAGCAGAACCCACTGCTGCTTGTTGCCACATCCATCCAACACAGCTCTCGAAGTTGCCAGGGGGAGGGATAGTGAGAGGGTGGAGACCTAAAGATAAGAGACTGCACACAGAAAGCTGAGGTCAGGCGGAGCCCTCTCTCCGGGAGGGAGGGAAGGAACTGCTCGGCCAATGCAGTGCATTTATTGGCACGTTTGCCCAGCGTCCCATTTCTTGGGTTGTCTCGAGGACTGGTGCTCTCTGGCCTGAAGCAGCTGTTCACATGGCTCGCCCCACCCCGCACGTGTAATCAGTCTGCAGCTTCATCCACTCCCTACAATCTGTGTTCTTGATGAAAGTCGCTCTGACTGGAGTAACATGAAATCTCAGAGTTGCTTTGATTTGTATTTCCCTAATGGCTAAATGGCCCTTTTTTCCTTACACGCTTGGCCGTGGGAACTTCTTGTTTTAAGAAGTATCTAATCAGTGGCTGGAGATTTAGCTCAGCGGCATAAGCGCCTGACTTGCAAGCAGGCAGTTGTGAGTTCGATCCCTGGTACTGATAAAAAGGAAAAAGACCAAAAAAAAAAAAAAAGTGTCTAATCAGTTTATTTGACAATTTTTTGATTGGGTCTTTGGGGGTCTTTCTTAATTCTTTATATATTCTAGGTGTTAGTCCTCTCAGAAGCTACAAGTTTTCCCCCCATTATGTAGGTTGTCTCTTGCAGCCTTTCAATTCGACATAGCCCCATTTGTTGAATCGCAAAATTATTTCCTGTGCTGTTGGATTCTGTTCAAGAGGTCCCTGCCTCACAACTGTTCCCTATGTTCTCTTCCAGCAGCTCAAAGTTTCTGTCCTTACATTTAGATCTCTGACCCATTTTGATTTGATTTTAGTATAGCACAAGAGATTCCCAGATCCATTTGTTAGAGAGATTATCTTTTCTACAACATACATTTATAGCCATTTTGTCAAAAATCAGGCAGCTGTAGGTACACATTGGTTGTTTCTGTGCCTTCTTTTCTGGCCCATTGGTCTACAGATCTGTTTTTGTACCAGTACCATACTGTTTTTGTTACCATAGCTTTGTCATATAACTTGAAAATCCCTCTAGTTTTGCTCCCTCTGTCCAGGGTTGCTTTGGCTAATTTGGTTCTTTTCTGATTTCATTTGAATTTGGGGGACTTTTTTTTTTAGTTCTTTCAAGAGTTTTGTTGGTATTTTAATGGAGATTGTATTAAATTTATCTGTCACCTTTGGTAGTATTGCCATTTTCGTATTAGTTCTACTCACCTAACCATAAGGAATGTCTTCCCGTTTTCTATTATTCTTTGAACTCCTTTGTTTGGAGTGCTGTAATCTTTGTTACCAAAGTCTTCCACCTTCTTGGTTATGTTGATTACTAGATACTTGAAGTTTCTGGAGCTATTGTAAAGAGAACCTCTTTCCTGATTTTTTCTTGGTGAATTTGTTGTTGGTACAGGAATGCAGATACACTTTCTATCACTTTTTCCTGGTTCATACAAATTCTTTGTTGGTACATTCTTAAAAGTACGTCTAGCTTTACAAATGTATTAAGGGCCTTGTTTCTTCATACTTACATATTCAATATTACCTTCTGAATCCTCACATGTCTTTTTATTATGTAGAATTACACCACAGAGAAGTGTGGTCTTTGCCCAGCGTGTTTCACAGGCACCAGTAACATCATGACGCTGCCAGCACCAGCACCTGGCTCCGGTGTCCCCCCCCCCCAGCTTCACGCAGGCTTGTGACTTACAGCACACAGAGGTTTGTGGTGCTAGTGACCGACCCAGGGCTTTGGCACTGAGGTACATCCCCAGCCCCCTTTTATAATTTTTGAGACAGGTTCTTACTAAGTTGCTCAGTTCTCCAGGCTGGGCTCAAACTTGTGATTCTCCTGCCTCAGCCTTGCAGAGCGCCACCAGATGCTGCTAGAAGTGTTATACTTCTACATAGTCAAGTTTACCAAGCTTTTTCTTTATGACTTGAATTTTATGTCTTGGTTAGGGAAATTTTTTGGACTTCTGTTTCTTATATTTTCTTTTAATACCTTTCCATTTTTAGCATATATGGCTGTAAACCATTTGGTATTTTCTATATTAGTGCATGATCTGGGGTAAGCATCCACTTTCCTGTAAGTAGAAAGCCAATTGTCCAAAAAATCTATCCTTTATCAATCATTTTGTCGTGTAACCTTTGCCAAAAAGTATCTGTTTCCTCTCCATAATCTGATTATAATTTCCTAGAGGAGAGGGACATTTCTGGCATCTGTATGAAGTGTGATTTAAAAAAAAACAGTGGATATTCAACTTTTTTTAGTAGAAGACATGCTGTTGTTCATCTTCCTCACAGCCTCTGAAGCGGTTTCCAGGGGCCCTGTCCTGCACTGAGTGAAAAGTGCTCCCTCATTCTGACTCGGGCGAGAACCGGAAGCCACGCAGGGCCAGGTCCGGTGAGTGAGAGGAAGGGGACGCTGTCAGATGGCCAACAACAGCAGCATGTGAGCGAGGTATTTTTCTACCACACCTCATAGACACTCACAAAAGAGGACTCCAGAACTGCTTCAGAAAGTGGCAGGAACAGTGGGATTGTTGTGCTAAAAAAAAGCTAAAATGCAAAGTTAAAAAGATTGTTATTAGCACAAAGAGCTTTGTCATTCTGTAATATGCTTATCGCCCTAGTAACCACGTACCTGGAGCACCGACCACATAGTTATAGATTCATTAACTGACTGTCGCCATACTGTTCTCTATGCATCATCACCTTAGTAACCTGTTTGCTGTGTCAACCTTTGTTCGCTTTGTGAGAAACAAATGTTCCTGGAATTAGCAGACCAAGGCTAGAAAGGGCTAACCACCAGCTGCGAAACATTTCTAACCCCAAGCAAAGGGGAAGAAAGGCTTCCCCGTCCTTGCTCTCATCATGCCAGCAGTTTAATTGCTATAAAAGTCTGTCAACATTCTAACCCCACCTGTGCTGTGCCGCTGGTGCCAGCTTAAATAAAAGCGCTCTTTTTCTTTTTAAAATAAGATGTCTTTTCTTGAATAACATCTTGGGGCCTTGTTTCTTGGAGTACAACTGAGGTAAGCAGAGGGGGATGTTGAGGGGGGGAATGGCTGCGTCTTTTACTATAATGATTGTTTCTATTTGAATATCCACAGTATATTTTGATCATCCCTGTAAGTACCCTGGCCTGTGGCACAGCCTAATGCATGGTGTGGTGTGGGGTGACCACCTGACTAGGTGATGAGAACAAGTATGTTTTTGGAGAAACAAAGAGGCAGATTTCAGAACTTGGAATAAATCGAAGGCCCCTCAGTTCATGAAGCGGAGTCAGTGTTTTCACCACCGCACCATCCCACTCTCGGCATTGTGTGGAGAGTGGGCAGTGGGAGCTTTGAGCCCCAGCACCTCAGGTCCATCTGTGCCTGATGCCCACACCACGGAGCTCAGTGGGCAGGCAGAGCAGGATGGGAGTGGGGCCTGGAGTGGGACGGTCCCTGGGACGTGACTGGCAAGACAGCAGGCTCAGACCTGGGTGCAGACCTGCGTGCACGGCCACGGGGGCAGCCAGAGAGGAGGACAGGCTGTGTGCACACAAGCTGCAGCATCCCTGCGGGACACGCGCCACAGATGCTATCATCTCTGGGTGAGAACTGAAGGTCACAGCAGGAACTTTTCCCTGTGAGTCAGCCCTATTGTTCAGCTAGCTGCTGCACTATTAGAAAATGGAACTTTAGAAGTACGTTTACAGTAAAGATGCCCCCGCCCCCCACCAGCAGAGCAACAAAAGCATGAGCAGCAGGGAGAGGTGGAGGCACACTGAGTCACTGCCCGGCTCGGCTCCCGGTGCAGGGCGGTGCGGAGCCGATGGCCGCTCTCCATTTGCCTCCGGCTGCTGGGACTGGAAAAACAAGCGCCCAGAGTCTGCTGCCCGGGTCTGAGTGGGCATGAGCAGAGGGGACTGTGCCCGGAGGCCCTGGGGCTCTGCGATCCCTTTGGAGTCCGTGTGGAGCTCGACCCGTTCTCTCCCTGCCCTGAGTTAGTTTCATTGTCTCCCCAGAAGCCATCGACTCCCACTGGACACGAAGAACAACAGCACAAGTGAGTTGAGTGGATTTGTCCCAGGCAGGGCCCCAATCCAAGGCCCACCTAGGCCTCCGCAGAAAGCTGTGCTCCCAGCCCTGGCACAAGGACTTGCTGTGCTCGTCAGCCTCAGTCCATTTCCTGCGGGCCAGAAGATGCAGCTGCAAGACCGCTCTGTGCACCGCGGAAATAGTCTCATCTGAGCGAGGGGTGAAGAAGGGTGGGGCCTGGACTTGGAGGTCAGCCCTGCAGAGGTCAGCTCTGATTCCTCCAGTCCCCAGCAGGCCCCTGTGTGCACATGAGCCCCTGTGAGCCCCTGACCCGTGGAGTGGGAACAGTAGCAGCTCTGTGTCACACTGTCAGGGTCCCAGCAGCAGTGGGTGGCACCTTCACCTGCAGCAAGGACTCCACACCAAACTGGCTCCTGGTCCCTTTGATGTGGCCAGCAGACTCAGGTAGGCCAAGGAGGGGAGAGGATTCTCACTTTGCTGAATCCCCAGCCCCCACAGGAAGAGCTTCTGGGAGTTCTCTGGGTCAGAGCAGTGCTGCTCTGAAAGTTTTCCAAATGATGAAATAGCAGGATGTGGGGAGACCGTGCGGGAAGGTAGTGTGCTCAGGGTGAGGTGCAGGGTGTGCAGGATGCAGAGGGTGGAGCCCCAGACGACACCCGGGCTTCCCCCTGACTGGAAGGAGTTCAGGACTTCAGGGAATCACTTGGGAGTTTCCCATCTGCAGTCTGGCTTTCTGTTCCAGGGTCAGTACTGAGATGATTACTTTATGACAGAGGTGACCAAGGACAATAAAAAGAGACTCTGATTCTCTTCCCTACTATCACGGGAATAATCACTCCCAATAGTACAGGCAAGAACCGAACTGGAGAAGTGGATCCCGCCCCACACAAGAGGGTAAAACAGCGGCACGCTCAACCCCCGGCCAAGCAGCCATCCAATCTGGTGACCCGTTAGACTCCCAGCTGCGGCACACAGAAAGAGAAGCCCCCATCCACTGCTCTGTGAGGAGACAGAGCACGGCCCACGCACCCGAGACCTGCTCCACACCGCACTGCTCTGCCCACGTCAAGCCCACGCTGTGGACCAGGCAGCCGCTGCTGGTCCTCGTTCATCGCCCTGCACACCTGCGTGCACACACAGACTCATGAGGCACATGTGCTCCTGACAGCATGTGAATCATGTTCCATGTGCATCCTTCTGCTTGTTCACCTTCCTGTTCCTGCGTCGGTGGAACTGCTGCTATTTAGCATCTCTAGACTAGAATGGCAATTTCACGTGGCTCACCCTACTAATTCTAATCTATTTCTCTACTTAGAAGGATTCCTTTATGTGACTATACCACAATTTATCTAATGTTGCTTTTTTATTTGTTTTTAAACAGTGCTGCTCTGAAAACCTTCCTCTGCATCTTGCAGGTACAAGTGCAAGAGACTCTTTGAGACACAGACAGAAAACTGAATTGTTGGAATAAACTGCGTGTGAACATCTGAAGTTTATAGAAATCACCAGCTGCTCGCTGGAGGAGCTGCACCAACTTACACTCCTCTCAGCAGCGTACGGGGCTCCCTGAGCCACTCCATCCCCACCCAAGGGTGCTTCTGGCTTCTCAGCACCGGCAATGAGATGAGCATGAAGGGGCAGCTTGGGGTGGCTTTGCTTTTGCTGTGCTGTTCACTGAAGAGACTGCTTCCACGTGTCCGGTGGTCATTTGTGTTTTCTCTTCTTTTAATCATTGGTTCACATGTTTTGACCATCTAACTGGATTGACTTTTATGACTTATAGATTATATATACATCTGTGCTGTGTGTGGATATAGATATGGATATGAATACAGAGATACAGAGAAATGGACATGAGACAGAGGCAGAGATAGAGATGATAGAAACACAGAGACTATAGAGAGAGACAGAGATGGTAGAGAGAGATGAGACAGAGATTGAGATAATATAGAGATGACAGAGATCTCCTTTATTATATGATGCAGCAGACACTATTTCCAAGTTTGCGGTTTTCAGTTTTCGATGTTGTTTTTGACATTTTAAAATAGATAAGAAGTGACAGTGACTCTACTGAAATAAATTCACAACTGAAGATCTGCAGGCCAGGCTGTGGGCAGGAGCCTCGCTCCCCACACAGCGCAAGTGACTGCTCTCGCCTGGCCTCAGGAGACCCCGCACAGTGTCGGCAGGAGCGTGGACTAGACCACAGTGGATCAGATGTGGACCCTGCACCAAGGTTCACGGGCCTCCGGACAGGCCTGTGTCCAGGCCCACAGCTGGGGACACGGTCAGTGCTCCACGTCACCCTTTCTCCTTCACCCGTCCTCCACCTCAGCTGGCTGGAGCTGCAGTGTCCTCCACCACAGGGCGCGGGTCCTCTCCTACGAGAACCCCTGCAGGGTCAGCTCTGAGAGGACAGGGGCACTGGGGTGTGTTCTATAGAAAGAAAAAGTCACAGCCCAGTTTTTAAGGCAAGGGGCTGCAGTGGGGGAAGGGCAGCGGGGACTTCCTGCGATTTCCTGTGTTGTGGAGGCAGCCTTGGGCTGGTGGACAGGGGCCTGAGTGACCAGAGTGAGGCCCTCTGAGGAAAAGGAACAGGGCAGACAGTGTGGTCCCGGGAGACAAGAGAAGGCATGTGTGTGCAAGGACAAGAGGGCAACATTACCAGGGCCTGGCACAGAGCCATGAAGGTCCACTGGGGATTCAGAGAAGCCCTGTCTGAATGCAGTGCCTGGGCACAGCTGTTACGGAAAACAGACCAAGCACAGGGAGAAACAGCACCGAGAAGGTTTAGGAGGCAGTTTATTACACCAGTGGGCTCGACTGGGGCCTCTCCCTAAGTCTCCCAGGGCTTCTATGGGGAGATGAAGCAGGCAGGTCAAAGGCGGATTTGGTGCACTGTGATTAGAAGGTTGGGTGACATCTTGGGTTTCTGAGGGAGTTTAAATGTTTCAGGTCACATTGCAAGGCCATCAGCCTCACAAAGCGTGGGTTACACAGAGGAAGAACTGTCCTGATACATTTTTAATTACCTTGCAAGGCATCAGTTATACAAAGGCAGTAAAGACGGGTTACACAAAGGAAGAAATGTTATCAGCCTGTCTGACATGTCTGTCAGGCTCTATTAAGTTTAATTTCCCTTTCACGGCCACAGGCAGGAACTGGGATCTGGCAGCAGGGGCTGTTGGGAGGGCAAGAGTGGCGGCAGTGGCTGCTGTGGCTCGACCTGCGCCTGCTCCGCTGCAAGGAAAGGTGACGATAGCCGGCACCACAGGTTGCTGGGGGTCGGAAGGAAGACCAGACAGCGGGAGCTGGCGGCCGGCAGGCGCTGGCCAGGGACCTGGGTCCAGGTCGGTACAGGCAGTGCATGAGGGAGGCACAGGCAGAATGAGCAGGCGAAGGTGCGGGACAGAAGCGGGGAGACGGAAAACACAGCCTGTGCATGCTGGCTCCCGTGTGCCCCCAGGTTTTCCAGCTGTTCCACAGAGAGCACGCACTGCTGTGCGCCCAGGGGAAAGTCGCTAAGTAAACTCATGGCTGTTACTTCAGGGTAAAAAGAAAACAGTCTTGTTTATTAGTAAACCAGTTTCCACTGTTTGCAAGGACCCGCACCACACAGCTCCCCAAGTTGCCGCATCTGAACTGTGCCAGTGTTTCCCAGACATCTTCTGGGACCCCATGAAATGAGATCATGTAGGCAATGAGTTTCCCAGTACTCAGGCTTTCTCTGCCTAAAGCTCCGTTTTCAGCACCCTTGCATTTCTGTTTGTTGTCTTTGGATTCCGAAACCCTGGCTGATCAACAGCACGAGGGTGCAGGACCAGTCAGCACAGTGTTTCCAACACCTTTCCTCACTTGCAGGTCTCGAAACAGTATAAAGCCATCCCGAGTCAAAATTCATTTTCAAAAGTAGATATTATACCATTGTATTAGTTACTTTATGCTCGTCGCTAAGACAAAATACTTGAAGCCCAAGTTGGGAAAAGGAAAGGTTTATTTCTTACAGTTTTTGGAAGTTTTAGTCCACACTCAGTTGGCTCCCAGGCAGGCGGGCATGGCAGGGCCGCAGTTCATGGCGGCTGCAAACAGCAAACAGGAACCAGCAAAGAGCAAGACACACCTTCTTCCTGCCATTACATCACATCCTGGCTCCACCTCTTTGTGGGTGGAGCACTGACACCATCAATCTAAGCACTAGACAATGAACCAATCACAAATGCACAATTCAAACTCCTGAGCCCTGGGGGCCACAGACATAAACCATGACAGCCATCTAAAATTTTTCAAAAGAAAACCTTTTTAAAATTCAAATTTTCCAAAGCCTTGGTAAGAAACGCCTGTCTCCGTCCCTCTCTGGTCCCAGGGTCTGAGGTGAGGCAGGAACATCAGCACTGAGCTCCTGTCCATTTTTATTTCCTGGTACGGGAACCAAACTCAGGGCCCTGTGCTTGCCAGGAAAGCGCTGCACTGTGAGGTGCATCCCCAGCCCCTAGTGCTTTATTAAATTTTATTTTGAGACAGGTTCTACGAAGTTGCTCACGTGGACTCAAATAATAATCCTGCCCTGGCCTGAGTCACTAAACAGAGGGTCTTCTATTGTTTTTTTAAAAAGCATTCCATTATTTAAAAAAAATTTTTTAACTAAATTCAAAAATTTAGTTTCTGCTCAAAGATACAAATGTGCTGTTACATTCATCCCTCATCTGTAAGACCAACCGGTGGGCTTTCAACAAAACCCAGAAAAAGTTAAAAGATTCGATACACGGGTCCTCACCAGAGAACCTGCCCACAGGCAAGCTTGGCCTGACTCCAGAGTTCAGGATGAGAGCAGTGGTTTCAAACAAGTTCTACAGAACCAGGCTGCAGCCCATCAGGGAAAAAGAACAACCAAAGCTGTCCTAAAGTGAATCAGGCAGGGGAGGCGCAAGTCGGAGGGAGACACAGAAGGCACATCCCCCTCGAGGCTGCGACCCCTCAGGGAGGCGCCTGACACCCTGAAGCTGGGGCTCGGCACCACCAGTCCTTTCAAGCCCAAATGCACTTGTGGTGTGAGTCCCTCCCTGGGAAAAGTTAACAGAAATAAGGCAGAGTAAAGCAGGAGTTCATCATGCAAAAAGCACCAGGGATATAGCTCAGTGGCATAAGCACTTGCCGCACAAGTGCAAGGTCCTGAGTTCATTTCCAGGTACCAAAAAAAAAAAAAGGTTGAAAGATTACTGTTATGGCTGCTATACTGTGTCAACCTGAGAAGTTTAGAAGTTAAACTGAGAGACTCAGCAGGAAGACAGGATCCTTGCTCTGTAAATATTCTCATCCTGAGCAAGAGGAGGGCATGGTGATCTTGTGAGTGCTGCACCAATCCTAGGACTTAGCCTAGCGAAAACACCACATTCTAGCAAAACAGACAGGAAACAGACCATGGGCCCACCATGTCAACATCAAATAAAAAGTGTTTCCGAGGGAGATTTCATCAGTAGTGTGAGCTGGACTTGGAGCCAAGAGCTGGCCTGCCGGGCTAGGGACACCAGGAACCCCGCCGGTAGGGCGCGGGCCCAGGTCTGGCTCCAAGGATGTTGCTAGTGTTAGATGAGGACTCTGAGCCCCGCTCTCTGTGTTTGGTTCTTACCACACGCCCCAGCCCCTAAGGGCCACGATTCCATTCCAGTGGGCACTCACGGGCACGCTGCCCTTCATCCCTGCTACTATTCCTCTGCAGAGAAGGCTCGGAAAGCGAGCTTGATTAAGTGAGTATCTCAGACACAGAGCTGCTGTGCAGAGCAGAAACCCCAGGGTTGGATTTCCAGACCCTTTTGCTCTTTGCATGACACCAGCCTTTACCTATGGCAAAGTGGCCCTCGGCTACGTGTATCCAATTGGACAAAAACTGTGAGCAGCCTTTAGCTTGACTTGTATGAGCAGTGGTTTGGGAGCCTCATCCTGACATGTGCATTAGCCTTATTTTCCCCAGTAAGGCTACATTCAAATGTAGGCAGTGATCAGCTACATTATAACCGGGTGCCTAAAAAGCTTCCCAGCAAATTCACTGTCCATGGATTTGACTTTCATGTAAATAATAATAAAGTCAAGCATTCCTGAGAGCTCTTTCTCCTCATTCTTTGGCTCTGCCCTGGGGTGATGCTCAGTATTCCAGCCTGCTCGTTAGGAGATAGGACCCTCTGCCCGGGTCTGGTGGGCATTGAGCAGTCCCTTTACCTCCCGGGCTTGGCTCCTGCATCTGTGAATAGAGGCCTCCACATGGGATTTTCCACCTCCATCAACCCTTCAAGGAATCACAGTATGTTTCCAGGAATTAAAAGAAAATGTTACTCTTGGAATTAAATAAAAAGTTCAGGTACATAAAAATGCCCCAGATCTTAATGTAAAAAGCCATTGGGTCCATACCCATACCCAAGGCATCTCCTGACACCCATCTGCTGCAGCAGCTCCTTTCCAGCCCTCTGGAATGAGCTGCACGGTGTTTGGTGACAGGGTGGGATCATTTACTGCGATCTGGGCACCACAGCTGCTGACCTGAGAGCACACTGCCAAGCGAGGTGCATCCTGTAGACTGAGCCCTGGTCCAGCCACGCTGGGGCCAGTGCTGCCTATCATGGGGTTCCAGGCACGAGTGGCAACTTGTCCTCTTCCCTGCCTTCCAGTTCCAGCACACAGAATCTGACGTTGGGCTATGTTCCCAGATCATGATCAAGTTGCTCTTCAGGGCGAGCTGTTTCCTTCCCAGAACCAAACCTGTCCCCGCCCAAGAAAAGCACCTCCCATTTGGGCAGCTCCCTTAGCCTAAGCCAGAAACAGCCTGCGGGTGGATCAAACTATCACCTCACTGGATGTGAAGAGAAACTTAGGAAAGAGGAGCACAGGGAGGACTGACCGCGAGCTCACCACCCAAGGCCCGCAGCCATCGGAAGGGACATGGAGATGTAGCCCAGGGATGGTCGTCCAGAGAGGAGCCTGGCTCAGGCGCAGAAGTGGTTCTTAGAGCTTGAAGCAACCTCAAAATGCCCCTGACCCCACCTGCACCTTGCAGCCAATTATGCCTCTCTCCAAGGTGCACAACCAAAGCCAGGCTACACCAAGTCTTCAGGAAAGCAAGTTCTCTAACATTTAGATGTACTTTTTTCAATTTTTGAGGCAGAGTCTGACTATATATTTGAGGCTGGCCTTGAACTCACTTTGTAGCCCAGGCTGGCCTCAAATTTACAGGCATGTACCAGCACGCCCTGCTAACATTTAGATTTGCAGGGGAAAAGAAAAGAAAAGAAAAACAGAATCACCATGTGTCCTAGAACAGCACATTTTCTAGTGGTTGGAGACCAGCTCACATCCATCGCTGATGCTGGGTCAGGTGGGGGTCACAGGAATAAGCAAAGGTTCCTTTCAGGCCTAGGAGCCGATGAACCCTTGTCACAGTGCTTCCGGGGGTACAGGGAACACCAGCTTCTTCCTGAGTGTGAAAGCGGGCTGGGGCATCTGCTTCTTCTTCCCAGTGGAGTCTGCCCGTTGGCTCACATCACAGTTGACAGCCGTGAGGATGGACAGGATGTCCTGCTGTCTGCAGGCAGAAACCACACCAGGTCTCAGGAAGAGCCAAGGCAGAGTGACACTAGCAACACCTTCTCCCTTCTTGGCTGAAGGGGGCAAAAAGCTCAACATGTCATAGTTCTGAACTTTAGCCCTTAAAATGCAAAAGCTAAACGTTAACCAGGATCTGCACACTTATAAAGTGGACTGCTACTGACATGCTAGGAGCTCAGAGGAGAGCATGCTTCTGGCCAAGTCGGGGAAAGAAGGCCCATGAGCCTGGGATGTCAGGACAGGTCATCCTTTCCAGAACGTTCCAGGGTGGTGGGCGGCACATCTCGCTGAGACAAATGCAGGATCTTGGGCAGAGCTCAGTTCTGAACTGCGGCTCTACTGCCCAGAATTTGTGGGTCTCAAGCAGGTTCCTGACCTCTGTGCTTCGGCTCCATCAGCCTCACTTTGGGATTACGATTGTCCCTGCCCTGGGATAAGCAAGGCCCGAAGAACTTGGGCCGCAGCGTCCCACCGACTGCTGCCTTCACACGGGCACAAACCCCCTCTTCTCCTCTCGCCCTCACCTTCTCCATGGGGTCTCTCAGTTGGGGTGCAGCCCTGCCAGGCCCTCAACCCCCACTTGCCGCTTGGCACCCGAGGTTGCCAGCTCCCTCTGCAGATCTTTCCCATCCTTTAGCCTCAGCTGAAACAGCACCCCCAGCCAAGAGGCCTTTCAGGGTGCCCCACCCACTGCATCTCACTGTTCTGTTTTTCTCTGCTCCTAGCAGGTCTGGTTCTGAAGTTATTTATTAACTTGTACTGGCTGGCTTATGTTTTTATTATCTGTCTCCCCCTCACTGGCTGTACACCCCACAGTGGGCACACAGCAGGCCCACGCGCGGGTGGCGCCTTCACTGGAGCCGTGGACACTGGCCTCCGATGACCTATTGAGGTTGGAGGGCTGGTGAGGAGGAAGGAGAAACAAGCTTGGCTCAAGGCTCCAGTCCTGGTTCCTGGGAGCACCGGGCCCTGCCTGGAGACAGGGACTGAGGAGTCAGTGCACCTGCTAAGGGCCAAGAAGATGGGCTTGGACAGAGGCACTGAGTGTGTGCAACACAGAGACGGGACGTCTGGAGAGCGGGGCATGAGGGCCGACGTGGGCAGTCATTCGTCAGGCCAGCACACACCTGCAAGCTCAACATTCCACAGGGTCTGTGTCGGGCTCTGAGAATACAAAGGAGAATGAGGCGGGGTCTCAGAGAGTGTGGACCAGTGGGGGCAACCTGGGGGACGCTTTCATGGAGGCACCCCAAGTTTCTAGGTATAGAGAGACTGCCAGAAGGAGAGAGAGGACAGAGGAGAGAAAGGGTGTGCAGGGAAGAGCCAGGGTCAGAAAGTAGCACATGGCAGGGACGGGACAGCGTCAGAGCCTCGGCAAAGGCTGTGCACAGACACTCGGTGACTCGACTGCAGGTGAATTAATAGAGGAGGAGAAAGCCAGGATCCCTGCCTCTGCCCAGCATGCTTCTCCCTGGATTCTCTGCTTACTGTTTGCTCATCATCTCTGGAAACTTCTGATCCTCCCAATCAGGGCCCCATAACAGCCAAGCCTCACACCTGGATGATCTTCCCTGTCTATTTGTCTGTCTAAACCAGTAAACCACAACACTGGGAGAAACTTGAGGGCAAGGACTACGTCTTTATTTCTAAATTCTATATTTCCCTTTTCAGGTCTGTGCTGGTGCTCAACACACGTTTGTTGGATGGAAGCATGGAAGCATGATGTATGGATGGATGCGTGGACGGGTGCATGGATAGTGGACGTGTGGGTAGATGGATGCATGCATAGGTGGAGAAATAGGCAGGGGGGTGAATGAGTAGATGAGTGGGTGGTGCGCTGATGGCTAGATTGATGAGTGGGTTCTTGGATGGACCGATAGGTAGGTGGATAGATAGTGAGTGGGTGGATGGATAGATGGATGGATGCATGCATGCATGAACAGATAAGTGGATGAACAACCCAAAACTCTTACCTTGGGACCAGGTTCTTCAGATGTTTGCACAGAGACTGAATATACCAGCTACCGTCCTCCTTGTGCCGAAAAGACACATAGCCGGGGACAGTCGCCAGACCGAGCAGGAAATCTGCCTCATCTGGAATAGCACCCTGAAGGGTAGGGGACACCTGCTCAGGATTCAGAGCATCTGCTTCAACGAGCACAGAAGGATGCTCCTCTTTCCCTTGACAGGCCTGGATGAAAAAGAGCTTCGGTTTGTGCGCTAGCCCCCGGCACCGCTGGGCGGTGAAGTGAGCCGTGATCTCCTGCAGGCGGATGAAGACCCAGTCTGAGGCGTAGATGCCCCCGAGCTCTCCGTGGGTCAGAATGCAGCACACAAAGCAGTCTCCGTCGACGTGGCCTGGGTTATTCTTCTGCTCCTCCAGAATCCTTTGCATGCCTTCGCCAGTCACGTCATGGTATGTGTGCACAGTGAAGCCAAGCCACTGGAACACACGCCTCAGGTCCTCTGGAGGGACGGAGAGCACGGGACTCGGATTCAAAGGGAGGCACAGGCCCAAACGCAGGAATTTAGGCCAGTGGTACAAAAACTGCACTGCAAGTCGCCTAAACTTTCTACCTTCACAATAAAATCACCTCGTCAACCTGCCTTCTCGGGAAAACTAAAGTGGCAACACAGCAGTCCTCGGAGTCGACAGCCACCAGCATGTAGCCCACTTCACAGATAAGGCAGTCAAAGCCTTCCGACTTCCCTGGGCCACAAAACCAGAGAGGAGCAGGATGAGAGCTCAGGCCTTGTCGTCCAGGGCACTCAATCTGGCCCCTCCAGCCCCAAAATATTCATGACATCGCCCTCAAGCTAAGGAAGCGTGAGAGTGGGAGAGGGCTTTCGGACCCCACTCACCAGCATCCACGTGAGTCCCCTGTCTCTCACTCAGGGAGCCCTGGAAGTTGCAGTTGTTGATGATGACACAGTGCCCTCTGTGCTTGCGGTCCATCCGGTACACATCTGCCTCCTTGACAGGGGAGAGACGGGACCCCTTAGTAGGGATCTCTACGTAGAGCACTAGCTGTTTCTAACCAGCTATCAGTGGGCCCACTCCGAGAAAAGCCACCCCAACCCTCTCTGGGGATTGAACCCAGGGCCTCCCAGGCAAGCTGCTAGTACTCAGTTACAACCAGCCCTTTTTCACTTGTTTACTGTTTACTTTGAGACAGGGTCTCATTACATTGCCAGGATGGTCTCAAACACGCAGTGCCCCAGCCTTAGCCTCACAAGGTCTGGGTCACAGGTGGGCCTCACCGTGTGGCCATATCTCTGAATGCCCACTTTTAACCCATGATGTTCCCTGGTTGTTTTTTGTTAGAGACAGGGTCTCACCACATTCCCCAGGCAGGGCTCTAGCTCCTGATCCTCTAGACTCAGTCTCTCAGGCAGCTGGGATTACACCATAGTCTAAACTCCTAAGGGCTGGGGTGCAGCTAGTGATAAGCACGTGCTTAGATATACTGGGCCCACAGTTCAGAAGAAAAATAGGTGAACAACCACACACCACTAGAGATAACCTTATGGTGCAATTTCTAAAGCTGCTACGCTGCTGAGTACTATGTACTCAGTTTTGCTACTGACTTGGATCTGATATGAGTGTCCAAGATTCAGGTCCAAGGGAGGCAGAAACGAGGCTCATCCCTTCCTTTTTCCCAAAGGCCATGATCCAAATGAACCCTCCTGCCTCAGCTGCCCAGCGCTGCCACCACTGACAAGCTGCTGGAAGACTGTGGGGAGACACATGGGCCCCCTGCTGAGGTCCCCCAAGTCAGTGGCAGGACAGACCTCTAGAGACTCCTGGAACCATGCAGTTGTAACTAGCCCTGCTGTGCTCCTGCAGAGCACCCTGATCCCAAGTTCTGTTCTGAGGAGCTGTCACCACAGCCAAGGCTGAGGTCTCGGGGACACTGGTGTGACTGCTGAACTCCACAGCCTCTCAAAGTCTCCAGACAAGCCCAGCTGCTGACCATCTCCTGAGATCAGGTCACCCCTGAGGGCAGCTCAGGCCTGGGAAGCCTCACTACAAAGTTCCCAGCACCTACTCATGGCCTTATCTCAGGTGGAGCGGGCTGAGCAGGCTGTCCTAAAGGAGCCGCCAACTCCAGGGCGATGAACAGGTCTGCACACAGGGAGACAAAGGGCTGTGCAGAACTGCCTGGCCACAGTGACAGAGGACCGCAGAGGTGGTGCTGCAGCTTGGTGGGGGCTGCAGCCAAGACCCAGCACGAGGTCAAGAGCACCAGGCAGGGTGGCAGGGCTCTAAGCCTCCACCACCAACGGGCTGCTGTGAGCGCAGAGCTATGACGCTGGCTAAAGGCCACACCACCACGGGCTGCAGCACCAAAACAGTCTCCAGCAGTAAGGGAAGGAAGCCAGTGGCATTCAAATCCAGAACCACGAACAAGAAAGGAGCAGCACTCTGCTGGTGAGGATTTCTTTCTGAACTGAGTAAAAGCACCGGGGCCGATCTGTGAGAGCAGAGCCCAGGTTAAAGGAGAAGCATCCTCTTCATGAAAGTCAGCTGTGCCTTTCCTCACAGGACCCACTCCCAGTGCCAGAAGCTGAGAGTCCCCAAGATCCTGGCCCTGGCCTAGAATTAGTAGATTAATTTCAAGGTAGAGTGCCAAGTCCTCATTAAAAGACAGAGAGTCAACCCGGCTTTACTGGAAAATCTCAATTTCCAGAGTTAAAAAAACAGGGCTGGGGACTTAGCTCAGCAGCATAAGCACCTGCCCGGTAAGTGCAAGGTCTTGAGTTTGATCCCTGGTACACACACACACACACACACACACACACACAAATAAAAGGAATTGGGTATTTGGCTCATTTTGGGCTGAGGATTTAGCTCAGCCATGTAAGTGCCTGCCTGGTGAGTGCGAGGTCGTGAGGTCAATTCCCAGTACCAAAAAAAAAGAGAGAGACAGTTAAAAAACAAACTATGTATATTTAAAATTGGCAAATATTTTTCCCCAGGCACTCAGATTGCCTTACCAATAAGGCAGTCTGATTATCTGATTTAATTTTATACTGAATTGGTTTTCTCCTGAGGCATTCCCAAGACAGAACCTCAACCACTCCATCCTTTGGGACAGGAAATGCTGGTGTCTAAAGGTCATTTTGTCCTTTGTCTCCACTGGGACTCTGCTTCGAGGGAAGGCTGTTTTGGACAGTTTAGGTCACGCAGATCAGCTGAAGAAATGCTTCCTGGTAGGAGATCCACCCCTGGACCTAGAGAAGCTGACTAGACAGCAAGATGAAAAAAAGAGAGCGGAGGGGCTGGGGATTTAGCTCAGCAGCATAAGCACCTGCCTTGCAAGCAGGCGGTCGTGAGTTCGATCCCCGGTACCGATAAAAAGTTAAAAAAAAAAAAAAAGAAGAGAGCGGAAAAAGAGAGACCCGAGACCTAATTTGGGCAGGGCAAAAGTCTGAGCACCACAGGAACCGGCTCAGCTGCGCTTTGAGGCTAATGGCATCGCACGGCTTGCTAAGGTCCCTTCAAACCCCGTAGGTCCTCTGTGAAGAATCAGAATAGAGACAGGAAGCTCCCGAGGGGTTATCTGTCACACGATAGTAACAGGAAAACACAATGTGCAGCTTTTCTTCTCCTCCCAGCCACTTTGTAGAGAGCCCAGCAAGCCCAGCCCTTGGTCCTGGGGCACAGATCCTAACTGTGACTGAGGTCGGTCCAGTGCTCAGTGCAGGTGCCTCTATCCAGGTCCACAGGACTGAGGAGTGCAGGGTTGGACTCCTGTGTGTCCCAGTGTACAAAACTGTGCCAAAACACGGCAGGTCATAAGTCCACACAGCCGACGAGGTCCAGAGTCCAAACTCGATCGTTAACCAAGTCGGCCGTCAAACAAGTGTGCCTGGTGACTGCAAACTGTAAGTGTGGAGAGAACACTGGTGTCGGGCACGCAGAACCGCAGTCAACATATGAAACCCTAGACCACAGACAAACGGCCAGCAGACACACACATCGCCAATGGCTGCTCGACCCGGAGGAAGTTTTTACGCAAAGCACGTTTATGAAGTCTAAAAGTGTCTCCCAGCACCCACTTATTAAGTGCATGGAAAACGCAGTCACTTGGCCCCTGAAGATTTACCCAACCAAAATGGAAAAATATTCAAAAGAGAAATTGCATTTGAACCAAATGTGCACACTTGGTCCTTATTTTCTACTACAACATGGTGTTCACGCAGCGTCTACACTTGGCGTTCGGTATGTAAGTAACCTAGAAGGGACCTGACGTGTGCGGTAGAGGAGAGACTTCAGATTTGGGTAACTTCAGGGGGCCCCAGAGCAAATACTCCCTGGGCAACTACCGACATGTGAGCCCCAGCATGAAGAGCTCAGGCACCTCGACTGAATGAGCAGCACCCACCAGCAGCCGGTGTCAGGACCACCGTGTTCCTCCGGGTGCAGTCCCCTGATGGGGCCGAACACGTAGCCTGAATCTAACCAAGGGCAACAGACACCAGAAATGAGGAAAGTGGGGCTTTTTAAATGAACGGTGGAGGAACCCCGCATTCCTGTCACTGGAGGAGGCCGGCAGCCTCAGGCAAATGGATCCTCCGCTGCCTCCAAGCCGGCTCTGAATAACCCCAAACGAGGAAAGAGAAAAAAATGTTGTAGATACATTCATGATTTAAAGAAGTCTGAAACATCAATGAAAAAAGTAAAGAAAAGTAAATCCCAGAATGGTTAAAGGAGGCTAGAGGGATGATGACGGGGCCGGTGTGGTGTCACTGCCGCCCTCACTGAGAGGGTGTGAGAAGCGCTGTGTCAACAGACAGCCCTGGGTCGGACATCAGCTTGATAGAAAGGAGCACTTTACTAGCTTTGCAGCACCATGACTGTGCCATTTGGCAAATGGCTGACTTTCTTCCTCGGAAACGCACACTGGGGCCTGCAGGGGTACAGAAGCTTGATATAGTGCAGTAACTTTTAAAAAGTTCAGAAATAAATGTGTGCATCTGTGCGAGCACAAGCGGAGAGATGGAGATCGTGTCAGAGACAGCGATCACAAAACACAGCAGGAAACATCACCAGAAGGTGGGCGGAGCGTGCAAACAGCACAGTGGTTTCTGTGAATTATTCACATTCTTTCAAATTTTCCATAAGGTTGAAATTATTTCCAAGCTTTAATATTCTAACTATCAAAATATGAAAAGGGTAAAGCATCTATAACAGAATTTTTTAAGAATAAAACAAAAAACCACTACAAACAGCCCCCTGGGAAGACAGTCTCTGTGCTGGAGGAAACATTTCTCCAAAGTGAACTCCTACAGGGCTGAAAACACCCGCGGACACCCAATACCACCAGTCTCCAGGTCGAGGCAGACAAAGCCATAGTGAGGCACTGCCCCACATTCCAGGGTAGGTGTGATTCAAAAAAGAGAACAGGAGGGCTGGAGAGGAGTGGAGAAACTGAGGCCCACACACAAGGCGGGAATGTCAAACGGAGGTGCCGCTGTAGAGACCTGTGCCTCGGCAAATCAGAATCCAGCATCTCACTCTGTGTGTTTACCCAGAAGAATTGAAAGCAGGGTCTCACAGAGACATCTTTTCCCTTGTTTTTAGCAGCGTTATTCACAATGGGGTGGCAGGGACACAGTGGAGTATCATTCAGCCTTAAGGAGAAGAGGAGCTGGGCGTGGTTGTTCATGCTTGTAATCCCAGCACTCTGGAGGCTGAGGCAGGAGGATCATTGCAAGTTTGAGACCAGCCTGGGATACAAAGTGAGCTCAAGGCCAGCTGAACTGCACAGCTTTTTGTCTCCAAAAAGGCAAAAAACAAAACAAAAAACCCCGAAAAGGAAGTTGTGAAATGTGCGACAACATGGTAGACCTCACAGATTTCAAGCCAAGGTGGCCCTCACGAGCACCGCATGGGGCTGGGCGAGGCTCGGTGGTGGGCAAGGCACAGTCGCCTTGGGTTCAACTCCCAGCGCCCCAGGGAGCCGCGCCCCACAGCCCTTCCATCTAGGAGTCAGAAGTTTAGCCAGAAGGCAGAGCTGCAGGGGGAACAGGGGAGGGGGGAGTTGTAATGGATACAGTTTCACTTCAGAATATGAAAAAGTTCTGAGGATGTCAGTAAATTTTATGTAATGTGTGTTTTATCATAATTAAGTGTTTTAAATGGTTAAGATGGTAAATTGGTGTGTTGTGTGCATTTTGCCACAAATTAAAAGTTAAAACAGTAAGTTTTGCTTTACGTATTTTATCATGATTTAAACAAAACTAAAATAAAAAATTTGCAGAACCAAGATGATTTCATTCAGATGCTGGCTAGAGAGGGCTGGTGTGAGGGACCGAAGCCTTGGTGGGGACAGAGCGGGTCCCCACAGGTGTACCGCCCGCCCTTGGCGGAGCTCTGCAGAGGCCAGGAACCCACCTCCCCTGCTGGGTGGACGTGCACCAAGCCGGGACCCTGCTCAGGCCTGTGCTGCCAGGGTCATGAAGCCGGCCGGGGACCTCAGCCCTCATCACAAGCGCCCAGGAGAAATCAGTCTCCTGGCAGCCGCTCCGCCTGCCCTCCCTGTCCTGCCGTGGGGAGCCTGATGACCCGCACACCCTGAACCTACCGGTAGGGCTGCAAGGAACTGTTTAACATCTGACCCGGAAAACACCTCCTCCTCTCCGGGGCGCAGGTCTGCAGGAGACATCGCTTTCTGGGCAGCTGGCAATAAAATCACAGACAGGGAAACAGAGTCACTGCTGGCTCGCAGCATCCCAGACAGTACCTTCAAAAGCACCATCAGAAGTAACCAGAGCTTGCAACCATCACGGCTCTGCTCACAGATGTCTACACCCACACCCAGGAGAAGGTGAACCTGTGAATGTTTTGTTGTCGATATATGGCGATGTTTTATGTTTTTGTTAGGTTTATAATTTTATTAATTCCTTAAAATCACTATATACTTTGCTGGAGATAAAGGCACCTGCCAAGCATGAGATCCTAGGTATGATTCTTAGTACAAAAAAAATCACTATACATTTTACTGAGTACTGTTTCAGGAGTTATGGTGCTTGATTAATATGCCAGATTATAGACAGCTAAAGAATCCAAAAACATTTGAATTACTTTGAAAATGATTATCAGGAGTCAAACTATAACAGCAGCACAAAAACGAAAGAAAAAAGAAAACCTCTTTGAACGTGATATCTAAATGAATATGTATCATATCCATAAAGTACATTTCTTTGAAACTACTCATAAGAGTGAGCTGACTATATGTGAACTGTATTCAGGAAAAACATCAGCTGTAACAGGTGGGGAAAGAGAAAATTACAAAATATGATTGAATGGTTTAGTTAAATATGTACTGGAGCCAGGCATGGTGACACACACACATCTGTAGTCTCAGTAGTTGGGAGGCTGAGGCAGGAGGATCGCCACAAATTGGAGACCACCTGGCTACACAGTGAGTACAAGGCCAGTCTGAACTACCAAACAAGACCCTGTCTCAAATAAGTGAATAGAAGATACACACGCGCGTGCACACACACACACACACACACGTGGTTGTTCATAGGAGAAAGCCTATAAGAATACGCTCTGGTGGTCACCTCAGAAAAAGAGGTCAGCAGTGGAGGAGGGAGAGGCTCTGGTCTTCTGCACTCTGTGCTGTTCTCATTACTTGAGGTTTTATTTGAATCCACTGTAGTTAGATGTATTTTCCTCATGATGCATTTACAACACTAAAGCAGGCCAAAAGACTCCAAAAGTGAGCCAGAGCTGAGGGTGCAGCTCAGGGGGACAGCGCCCACCCCCGGCTCCCGCCCCACCCCTGCCATACGCCATATGACAGATCCCCACAGCCACAACTAAATAAACAAAGGCAGGTGATAAAAATGAAAACTAGGCGGGATCCGTACTAAAGCTCAAGTCCCAGTCAGACACAGTGGACTTGGACTTTGGGTCACACTTCCAGAAACATCTGAACTCTGCACACCTACTTTCTTTTCAGTCCTAACAGGAGGCAGACACTGACGGCTGTGCAGTGCTGACGCTAACATGTTAGTAACGACCGACATCCGGAGGCAGCCGTCCAGAGGCAGGCTTTTAAAAAGCCAGAACTAGCACTCTCCTGCCTCAAAGCTCAGTCCTGCCGTCACCCAGGCAAATGTAACGGTAACCAGGTCTCCAGGGCCCACAAGCCCTGCCCTGCAGCCACGGGGCAGGAAAATGACGTGTGACCCGGAGGGAAAGCCACCCTTCAGAGCTCACCTGAGCTGATACATAAGAAATACGGAAATCGAAACGCGGAGTTCACATGAGCATCCAACATCCTTTTTACTTTACACTTTTTATTTTACACTTGATAATACGATGGTGAGAGCCCCTCTTATTTGCCATAAATTTTACTCAAATCACACATTCACTATTTCTGTTATTGTTTGTGATTTGTCAGTTCAACCACCTATATTTTGTCCTCAACTCACTTTGTCTCCGCTGAACTCTCGGCTTCCGTTCAGCTGGTTTCATGTTTACCCGAGGAGCTCGCCCTCCTGCCTGACTCACCCGCCAGGTCACCGTGTGGAGCGGAGCTTCCGGGTGAGGCCACGAGGCGTTACACTGGAGCTCGTGTGCAACAGTGAGAGATGGGCTCAGAAAAACCCAGTTAGTTAGTTAGTGACATGGGGGAGGCAGCCAGACAGGTGCCACCCTGGACCACATCCAAGACCTTCCCAAGACAGATGAAGCAAGGCACAATGTTCTGGCAGCAATTTCCAGGATACGAAAACCTGTGTGGCCTCCTTCTCTGAGCAGCACAGCCCATGACGGCATGTGTGTCGAATGCCAGACAAGAATTTTACAGGAGCTATCTCCCTCGGTTCTCAACAATACCTCTGGGGTGGACATGTCATCACACCCACTTCACAGAAGGAAAAGTGAGACCTGAGCAGGGACATCACTCACTAGTAGAGTACTGGCCTCCTGGCTCTGCGGAGCCCACTCTTAATCCCATCGCTCCTTAAGTTTATTTCATCAGAAACAATTTTCTATATAAAAATCGGAAGCAGCCCAGGGATATAGCTAAGCAACACGGGCCTGCAGAGCTCAAGGTCCTGAGTTTGACTCCTGGTACCAAAAAAAAAAAAAAAAAAAAAAAAAAATCAGAAGCGTCAGGCATGGTGATGCTCACCCTACACTCTGGAGGCTAAGAGTTTGAGGCCAGCCTGAACTACATAGCGAGACCTTGTTTCAAACACGATGATAAAATCATCTAGAATGAACCTCACCCACCTGGAGCATACGCTCCAGGGCGCGGGATGTTGGCCCTCAGCCTGCTCCACCTCCAACTGACAAATAACACCTGGGCGAGTGTGCAGCCTGCAAACACATCCTGAAAGAATAAACAGGGATGTCCCTGGCTTTCCTAAGAGGGTATTATGAAAGCGAGAGACACCACATGTGACCAGTCGCTTTAAGAATTCCCACAGAATCGGGGATGTGGCTCAGTGGACAGCACCTGCTGGCAAGCTCAAGGTCCTGAATTAGATTCCTGGTACCAAAGCAAAGAACCCCCATGGTCTGGCACATGTGTGAACTACTCACCTTCCTCTCTTTTGTAGTTCTCTATCTTTTTCCCAAGGCTGGGTATAACCTTTGTAAAGACCTCCTCCAGAACACTCAGATTGTCTTCCTCTATTACTCTGTTCTTCTCTAGACACAACAGCAAACCTAGGGAAGTCTGCAAGAGAATCGACACAGTCATACCGGCCTGCCGCCCGAGTAGCTGTCGTGTTAACCCTGTAGCTGGCCTCAAGCACCAGGTTCTGAGTGATAAACACAGTACGTACCCTCAAGGGGCCCAATCATGTGGAAAAGAAGTGTCATCAAGCAAGTGTCTACCCGTCAATACTGACACCAGAGCCAGCTCTACACAACTCTGCACCCCAGGCACAGCGCTTGCTGCATGTTAACCTCAAAACAACCCAGAGAGCCAGGCACAATGGTGCACGCCTATAATCCCCATGCTCTGGGAGGCTGAGGGAGGAGGACAAGCTTAAGCTCAGCCTTAGCAGCTCAGTGAGACCCTGTCTTAAAGTAAAAACTATACATAGCAACTATCTCTAAGATGATAATGTGTAATCTATTAACTGGTGATTTTTTTTTTTGTAGTTCTGTATTACTTGTACCCTTACACTGCTTTGTTTTGTTTTGTTTTTTCTCTTTTTCCTTTTAAATAAAATTTTTAAAAAAGTAAAAACTATACAAATAGAAATGAATGAAGATGAAGCTCAGTGTGAAAGGCCTGAGTTCAATCCTCAGTAAACTTCAACGAAGAGGAGGAGGAGAAAAAATGCTATAATCCCCATTTTAAAAATAATAATTAATAATTGGGCTGGGCATATTGGCACACACCTGTAACCCCACACACAGGAGACTGAGGCAGAAGGGTCACTGTGAGGTGGAAGCCAGCCTGACTAGAGTGAGTTTAAGACCAGCCTGAGCTGCATAGTGAAACCCTGTCTCAAAAAGACAAAAAGTAAAATAATAATAATAATAACAGAGGCACAGAGAGGTCCAGTAATTCACGCAGCATCACAAAGCTAATTGGTGCAGGGCTGGTGTCACCTGATGTCAAAGTCTGTCGTATTAAATATTGAGTGTCCCTGCTTCCAACTGATGATTCTGTGTGACATAGTTAAGGAACTGGCAAAGTAGGGACACCAAAGAAATGAGGGAGGAAACCTTTTGAAATAATTTCAATTTGGAAGTTTTTTATGTATGAAGTTTCTCGGAGGGCTCACACATCAACACTATTATTTTAAAGTCGATTTACATATGGAGGTGGAAGGGAGCACAGTCTTCTCAGTGACTAGCATTCCAAGCAGTGATAGAATCAGGTGCCATTGTCTTATTGTTTAAGACCAAGCTACTTCAGAAATCAGAATTCACAGAATGATACACTTCAGGGCCTCTGGTATCACCTTAATGCAGTGACTGGGTAGGAGATGACCACAGAGACAGTCCCCGATGCCCTGAGAAGGTTAAGCAGGCGGGGAAGGACACAGGGTCCTGCTCTTTGCAGTGAGAAACCAAGTTGCTTGCATGTGGTTTTCTGAGAGGGCTGGGTCTGAAAGTGCTGGCGTTAAGCTGTGTGACCCTCTTCACTGCCTCCTTCCAGCACGGGCCTCACTGGTCTGTTTGCTCTGTTCATCTGCCACATGAGCAGGGATACTGCTCAGTGTGGACAGTTGCCATGTCCTTAGGTGTACGGACAGAGAGGCTGCTGGAGCTCAGGTAGGGAGAACAATTCCACAGCCATAAGACTAGACAGACAAAGCAGTGACCTGAGGCATACACAGGAGTACAAGTGTGAAGAGCCACTAAAGGGGAATTAATACAGCCTCAAGGCAGATACCACACCATGCTTTACCTATCCCGCAGGAAAATCAGACAGTTCTCAGCACACACTCACACACACACACACACACACACACACACGTGAGTGCAGAAACAAATACATCCTAGTTGTGACTTGCTATCCCTCCCTCATATCTGGTGGACTCCAATACTACAGGTCTTGAAAAAAAGTCACTTATTAAAAAACACAGAGGAATATTCTGAACTCATTTCTCTGTTGCAGAGGAGGTCCATTCTTTGGTGCTTTGTCTTTTTGTTTTTTTCAGTTTTTCTTGGGACTGATATAGTCAACTTAGAATTCAACATAATACAGAGTGGGGAGCCCCAAACAGAGATGGATTCTCTCGTTCCAAGAAGAAATTAAGGCGACTTGCCAACCATCCGAGGTCCTGCCGCCACTGGCCAATGCCGTGACTGGCCAGGATCCCACCGTGACTTGCCGAGCCGTCCGAGGTCCCGCCGCTTAGACTCACTGGAGGCTCAGTTACATTGAGTTCGAGGGTCAGCGAGTCAAATGGAGAGCTGAGTTGGCGGGGAGCCTACATCGACCTGTGGTGAGTGACGGGAGTGGAGCCATTCCATAAATAGGGGGGCTCCGGCAGACGATATTCTGGGACCGGGCAGGACTGGGAAATACAAGGGGCAGCAGTGACTTCAGTCAATTGTTCCCTTCCCGAATGGGATTGGTGGAGTGAGCTAGACCTGGGTCACGTGACTCGTGGTGCACACTAACCACACTGGCCCAGTGGGGCCTCAGAGGTTTGGCTGGTCCAGAGGGGAGGCTGAGCAAAGTAATACAGTAGTGCAGGCCACAGCAGCTTGACTGATCTGGAGGGGAGGGGCCGGCATACGCTGTCCCTGTCTGCAACTCACTAGCACACTGCAGTGTGCAGGGTCACCTAGCCAGCATGCTTCAGAAGAATTGTAACCAACAAAGAAAGAAACTGGGGCCTCCTGGAAGAAGCAAAAAAGATGGGAAGAGGAAGCAACAACAAAAAGTCCCCAGGTCCCAACCCTGAGAACACTGACCCAGGACAGGTAAATACAAAGGAGAATGAGAACAGCAAACATGCAATATCATTCACCGCACCAGTGGACAAAAGAGATATATTCGGGACCTCATAGATGAGTTCAAAAGTGAAATATTTAGCCAAATAAAACAAGATATAAGAAGATTAATAGAAGAGATACTAAACACCCCTCAAGCAGACACAGATGGAAGAAAGGAGGAACTCAAACACAGGAGAGAACCATTTGGTAAAGAATATAAACAAAATATAGAATACATGAAGCAGATTCAACGAGAGCACCAGGAAATTAAAAACTCTATGGAAAGATGGCAAATCAGCTTGAAAGAAACAAAGGATAGATTATCCAAACTGGAGGACAACTTTGCAATGTGGGATTATGAAAGGGAAAACTTTTTAAAAATAACAAGGAAACAAGCAGTAACAATACAAAGGCTAGAAGATGACAAAAGGATCTATAACTTGAGAATAAAGAATGTGAATGAAGAAGCTGGGCTACAAACAAAAGAACTACAAAGGTTATTCACAGAAATAATTAAGGAAAACTTCTCAAACATAGGAAAAGGAAATGATATTCTGATATATGAGACATACAGAACTCCAGCCACCTAGAACCAAAACAGAGCTACACCCAGGCATATAATAATCAAGATCCCAGAAATTCAATATAAGAACAGAATATTAAAAGCTGTTAGTGAAAAGAAACAGATAACCTACAGAGGAAGGCCCATCAGAATAATGGCAGACTTCTCAACACAAACCATCAAGTCAAGAAGAGCCTGGAGTGAAATATTCCAAGCCCTCAAAGAAAATAACCTCCAGCCCAGATTGATATATCCTGGTAAACTGTCTCTAGAAATTAATGTAGAAACAAGATGCTTCCAAGACAAAAAGGAACTTGGGAAATTCACAACCACCAACTCAACTCTACGGAGAATACTGCAGGACATTCTAGAGAGAGAGAAAAGTACTAGGACTCCAGGAACAGTGGCAGAGAGGCCTCAATGAATGCAGCAGAAAACAGAATGAAGAAGACAAGCAGACAACTAATGGCAAAAAAAGAGCATAACAGAAATGAGGCAGAGAAGATTTTATTCAAAACTGATATGATTGATAGTATCAAGTCTGAGAGTATAGGCAACTACACTGAAGATGACAAGACTCTACAATACACATTCTGGTTTTATAACTGCTGGTTTTTGAAGTTCTATACTATATATAAAGTTGTGTTTTTATTAATACTGTTATGTACTGACATATTCAATTATACTATGTCTGATGATATAGCCAATTCTATTGGAGATAACAAGAGACAACACAGGAACTATGGCAGAACGATTTGTACAATGGTCTTATATGTTTATTTCATTTCATGTGTTTATAGGAATATGTTTTGTTTTGCCATGCTTTGTTTTGTTTCTCTCTCTAATACAGAAAAGATAGAAATACATGTTAAGACTCATGCATGTGTAGAATCTGTAAACAGTTTATGAGAACTGATCATATGACACATGATGGAAACCTTGAATGAACAATATAAGAAATAAACACAATGCATGAAGCAGATTCAAAGAGATGTACAGGAAATCAAAATTCCATCAGAAGTTGGCAAAAACCACCTCAACAAAAGTGAAGATAGAAATACAGAAAGAATAAGTATACATGTAGAGACTCATGCATGTGTAGAACTTCTAAACAGTTTATGAAAATCGATTATATAATGCATGATGAAATGAACAGCTACTTTGAAGAAAAAGAGACACTAAGGTACCCACTGCTGATTCTGTAGCATCATGATGCAAAATCTAGCAATACTATTATGCTTTGTTCAGAGTGATTTTAGTCTGTTTCATTTTGTTTAATTTCAACATGCATGAAGGTATGGACAGTTATTTTGAAGAGAATGAAGAGACACTATGACAGCCATTGTTGACTTCCCTATTGTCTGGTTTTGAAGACCTAAAATGCCTTCATCATCCTGTTCTGATCAGTTTTATACTATTTTGTTTTTTATGAATTCACTGTATATGAACATATAGACAACTATTTGGAAGAAAACAGGAGACAATGTGGTAGACAGTGAAGATCTCCAGTTGTCTTTGAAATCTGTGTCTCTTACATTGTTTTCTTATGATTTGTTCTGTTTAATTTTACCCTCTTTAAAATAAAATTTAAAAAAAAGTAAAGATGGACTTTTAGACCTCAAAGACAAGATTGCAGCTAGTGAACAGGAAAGGAAAGATCTTTTAAAAATAACAAGGAATCAGGAAATAACTATTCAACAGCTGCAAGA